CCACAGAGTTATGGTTTCTTGGTGGTGTTTGTACAATTCTGTGTTGGAAATGTCCTATTCATGGTCCCACAGACCCTCCTTTGGAACAGGTTTGTATACCCATAGGTAAACTCTCTAATAAATGCTAATTACTGGTTCTCTGGGAAGACTGAGAAACTTCCTTCTCTCCATATCTCAATGGCTTATCTCTATTCCAAAGCACAATGCTCAAGGGGAAGAACAAGCAAATATTTTCATTTATTTCAGAGAGTGGAAGGGAATCTAGGTATAATCAAATGGGCCTTCCAGAAGAGAGTGAATGGAGACCAGCCCACCATCAGTGAGCCACAATGAAATTTGTATGCTAGGAGACACTTGTGCCTTCCTATGCTTGGGCTCTTTGTCCCAGCTTCCTCTTTGATATCTCAGCCCATTTTAGTGACAAGCTCCTCAAGCACAAGGCAGGTCTAATTTCTCTCTCACTCTGAAGTGATTTATTCCCAACCAACGGGTGAGCAAAAACATACAATTATATAAGAGGCTCACGAAACTAATCACTACAGCTACCCAAGAATCCTCTAGTTACCAGCCTCATCAAGAAGATGGTGACTGGAGGGACAGTTTGTTTTCAATCTTTGTATTCTGACATTGTATAACTTAAGATTACACTATCCAAGATGAAACAGGCAAAAACCACAAATCTGAAAAAACAGCCTTCAGGGTTTATTAGTCTTAAGATAAATTAATAGCACAGTTACCTATATGAAGAGCTACAAGTAGGGAAAACCCACTTAATACTCTAGTAGAGAAGCAAGGAAGATGTATTAGAATTAATAGGGATACAAGATGCTTATATTTTCTTCTGCTATTTATGAATAAGTGGTAATACATGCTCCTCACATTCCCAGGGTGAGAGGAGAGTATAAACCATATTCCAGTTTTCTGCTTAATGCCTGGGCTTATTTAAAAAAAAAAAAAAAAAAAAAAAAAACTTAGTTGAATTTCCTATAACTTCCTAAAGCATCAAGCTTCACTTGCCAATATGCCAATATCCCAAATATGCCAGTATTTGAAAACAAAACAAAACTCAAATTCGCTACTTCAGTTAACATGGTTAACTCTAGACCCAGACTTAAGTTTTTACCAAAACTAATGTCCTATGACCCATATCTGTTAACTGATCTGGCTTCCTGTCTATTCCCTCTATCCATCTCTCTCATTCCTTTTAGAGATGAATTTCTTATGTGCCAGGCCAAGTTCTGTCCTACACCAAGATGACTAACTAAGACACTCTTTCTCTTCGGAGGCATGGAAAAATGACAGGGGAAAAAAAAAAACAAAACAACAGTAAAGCACAAGACTGAAAACCTAGCAGATGATCAATCAGAACCAATCAGGCAGAGGTTATTTATCTGGGTTTGTTTTGTTTGAGGGGAGGGAAGTTTCTTAGCCCACAGTCACCATGAGGTTTATATGAGAAAAGGCATGCCATTCTGTCCTCAAATAATCCAAAGAGTTAGAGGGGACAATTTACAGCCTCTTGTGTAAAAAATGTCTATAAATGCCAGTGCCATTCTTTGCCCCATCACTTCCCATTATCCTAAACCAACAGGATTCTATTCACTGAGACTTGAGCTGAAAACATGAATGGACAGGCCTTTCTTGGGCAGGGCAAGAGAGGGAAGATGACTGGGGGGTGGGGGAGACAGATTTAAGTTTCTGTTCACTGCCTAATGTGTATAGTATACTAGTGGAGCCGAAAACTGAAATATATGCAGTCATGCAAAAGTCAACCTAGGAAGAAGAGTTGAGGTTCAGTATCCTCAAACGGGTAATATGCACAAGCAAATAAAAACTACGAAGAGATAATCAAATTGCGAAAGTTAAAAAAAAATCAGTCATAAATACCACTGATCCATGGCTTACTTCCTCTCGCACACTTTCTCTTTATCATATAAATTGATCTGCAGTAAAATCTACTAAAGAGAAAGCAGCAAGCAATCAGTCTTAAGCTGGATCAAGTACACACACACCCTGTGAAACGGAGATGACAGGAGGTCGGTTTCTCACTGTACTCCTTAGGATACTAGGATGAAGAAGAGGCATCTCCACACCATCTACTAATGTATCACTACTGGCTTCATATCCAAGTGAAAGAGATCTGTGCCAAATTATGTAGGAGGATGCTACACTAGACCTAGGATCCCAAAATAAGGTGGACAGAGTGTGCTGATCTGGCTGTTCCATAAATACAAACTTAATCACATCACTACCTTGGCCAACCAAACAAATACTAGGTAACAAATCATCTCTGGTGATAAAGAACAGTTAAACATAAGACCAAACCAGGCAACTCTCACCAAAAATGTGTCTAATTCACAATGTCAAGATTTGGATGTAGGACACTAAGTTCTAGAAAAGAAGTTACTTGGGGGAAAAAAAAAGTACACCTTCTTTTATCTTACTTCTGTTTCTCCAATTTCGCTCCTTCTACTGATTCTGTCTAAAACTGCTTATATTCTACAAGCCCTAAAAATTCTGGGCTACCAAAACAGTGGTTCAATTTATGTAGTCTGACAAAGGAATCCCATGCTACTTCTAAGTGTAAAAGCTGTGTGGGAGATTAGCTTATTAGACCTGAATAGTTCAATAAACACGTGGCTATTTAAATTAATTAAAAATTCAGTTCTTCAGTTACACTCACTACATTGCAGGTGATCAATAACCACATGTGGTTAATTACTACTAGATTAAATAACATTATTTAATAGAATATTCTGTAGAATATTTCCATCATAGCAGAAAGTTCTATTGGAAAGTAATGGTCTAAACAGCAAAATATATGCATTTCTGGGACATTTTAATGGTTTATGGGAAAAATTAGAGCAAGCTGTTAAAATTAGGATGATTCTGAAAATCAGGATTTATGATCAACCTATGTGGAATCTATACTCAAAGAAGACATCTCAAAAAGTCAAAAACCTCCAAGCAGAGCGGTACCTGGAAAAAATCACATACTCTAATATACTGCTACTCAAAATGTGGTCTGCCCCCTGGTGCTGGTCCCTACACTGTTTGTTACCAGTCTGCAGTAAGTCCAGAAATTGAGAGTGTTTAACCATTTCCAAAGTAATTTAACACTGCTGTGCCATTTTAATTGTATTTCACACAAGTACCACTTTGCAATAAATTGGAAATTTTAAAAAGCTAGTCTTTGCCACAGAATTTGAGAAACACCACTCTAGAACACGTGTGACAATGAATGTGATTAGAGAACAGAACTCATATAGTCCGAGTTCTGCAAATTACCATTATTTACTTATAACCCTTTAGAGATTTAAAATGAGAACTGAAATCTTTTCAATGATCAAATAAAACACAGAAGTTAACTGACTCAATTAAAATTATAAAGGCAGCTGGCCAACAGAACTGAACTAAGAAAGGAAGAGCCCTGGCTGGGGGAGGTTCAGTTGGTTGGAGTACCATCTCGTACACCAAAAGGTTGCAGTTTTGATTCCCAGTTAGGTCAGGGCACATACCTAGGTTGCGGCTTTGATCCCCAGTCAGGGCGCATACAGGAGGCAACCGATCGATATTTCTCTCTCACATCGATGTTTTTCTCTCTCTCTAAAATCAATAAACATATCCTTGGGTGAAAATTAAAAAAGAAGAAAACTAGTATTTATTGAGGGCCAAAGTGTCACTATGTTAGGAAACTTCAAATATATAATTATTGACTCTTCACAAACATAGTGTTAGGTGTTACTCCCATTTTTATAGACGAGGACCAAATAAATTTAATACTTTGCTCAAAGTAACAAAATAAATTAAGGTATGTCTTCATGTTTTACTTAGCCTCCTGTGGACCAAAAATGAAATCAGGTCAAATATGGAAAAAGACCCTAGGGAAGGGAAGAAAAAACCTGAAATGCTATCAAAATAATTCAGGTGGACAGTATAGATGAAGGACAAATTCCTGTCAGGAATGTGTCCACATGAGCAGAGTAACAGGAAATATGTTCAAGTTAGTTAATTTTGATGGAACATACAAACACACATAATTCCTTAGAAGAGTGAAATTATTGCTGAGATTCTCAGACACCTAGCCCTCACATACAAAAGCAGATATATGAGAACCAGGGCAACAGATCCAAGGCACCCTTTCTTGGACTCTAGCAAAACACAATTGACTTTGGGTTTATAACAACTCTTCCCAATTAAGCTGTATGTGCTTTAAGAATCACATACTTTGCCTATCTCAACTCCTCATTTTTAAAAATCTCATATAAACCAGCAAATAATCCTACTGAATATCTATGGTCTCAGCATCAAGCTGGGCACACAGAGCTAATGTTATATTGTTGGTAAACATCAAATATATAACCTGAAAGAAAGGAAGATGAAACACAGTTGTAAGTAAAGTTATGAGTCCTACAGGAGCACAAATGTTTACTTTTCAGTGTTCAGTTTTTTTCCTTAGCAAAAACATAACCACTGTCAGGTCAATTTTTCCAATGAATTTCCAGAAAGTCAGTATTTCCATACTCAAATGGGAAATAATAAATTTTAAAGATTTTATTTATTTTTAGAGAGGGGAATGGAGAAAGACAAAGAGAAACATCGTTTGGTTGCATCTCACACACCCCCTACCAGGGACCCAGCCCACAACCCAGGCATGTGCCCTGACGGGGAATCAAACCAGTGACCCTTCAGTACGCAGGCTAGAGCTTGATCCACTGAGACACACCCAATCAGAGCTAATCATTTTTTTTCAATGATGGTCTTCTGTTAACCCTGCCACCACTTCAATAACCAAGAAAAATATACAGTATGCTCAAACAGCCTGAGTAGAAGCTATGAAAACAATCTGGAAAAAAAACAATTAGGTTTGTGAAACAATGCTTGTAATATAATAATAGCCAGTGAAGAGGTGATAGTCAAAGAACTGTGTGAAACAAAGTGTTACACTCTCAGCCTAGTAGCCCCTAAGATGCTCTAATGTTGCAAAAACAGTACTTTACCTTTCTGGAGATTGATGAGACATTCAAACCAAATCTTTGAGCTCTTTCCTTTAGCTTGTCCAGGTTAACCTACAAAAGCACAAGGGGAACAAACAAACAAAAAACAAAAACAAAACAAAAAACCCTGTATTAAAAAAATCAAAACAGAAAATACAGAAAGCAGAAACTATGGCCCAAAAATAAGACTTAAATAAGCTTACAACATCAAAGATACCCTATGTGCCAAATTAGGAAAATAAGCAGCACCCATCCATGCCACTAGTTATTAAAAGGCCTCTTCTGGAGTGCAGTGAAAGATTCAGCCCTGCCTCCTGCATTCATTGAAAGTGGCAAGAGTTTAAATAGGGGATTTAAGATCAAAGTGGGAAAACTGCTAGAAAAAGCGAACAAATGTCTAAATCATCACCTCCAACATGTCCACCATTCACAGTCCAAAATCATTAATTCCTATAGTCTATGCAAATAGTTTTTAACTCTACTCCTGGCAAAAAGAATGATCACTACAGATCTACTTTCTTCAGAACACAAATCTATCACCAGTACTCTACTCAGTTTTCTTCATTTTTCCTGAAAGCCTTGATATATCAAGACATTATCATAAGGACATTTGGGACATTTTTTTTTAAATTAAGGTAGATAAGGGCTATTTTGAATGATTAATGTATGTAATTGCCAAGGCCACTATGTACAGGTTAAGAGAGGTGGGGCTTTATTTCTTGGTCTCTTCCTCCTTGGACAGAGTCTTGATGATCTCCTACTTCTGGACCTGGAGCCATTCTACACGGTGCTTCTGTGCTTCCTTGGTCTTAGATCTGCAGCTCTTAGAATGGTCAGCCAGAAATTTCTGTGTGCCTTGTCTGCCTTCAACTTGTGAATGTGTTCCATAAAAATCCATTTTTAAAAATTTTTTATTTTTAGAGAGAGGAAAAGGGAAGGAGAAAGGGAAAAAAACATCAATTAGCTGCCTTTTGCATGCCCCCAACTGGGGACCTGGCCCACAACCCAGGCCTAGGATGTGCCCTGACCAGGTACTGAACTCCTGACCTTCTGGTTGGTGGTATGAGGCCCAACTCTCTGAGCCACACCAGTCAGGGCAAGAATCCACTTGTTTCTGAACATGTTACCTCTCACTTTCAGGTATAGGCTGTGACACATGCGGTGGTCTTCTTAGATTCACAGTGTCTTCTGAGCAGCAGGCAAAGAATTCTCATCCTCCTCATTCAGGTTACCTTATCAGGCATTTGCGCAATGGCAGTACCCTTTGCCTTACCTTGCCCATATGCCTGCCCTTCTTGCAGGCCAAGGTGTTTTCCTGGCATCAAGCTCAAAATGGATAATCACAGTCTTCCGGATGATTAGTACATCTTTGACCAGCTTCCGCATCTGCTGATGGGAGTTGGCTTTGGCAACTTCCCTGGTCTTACTGGGAAGACCTTCTTTTTGCCAGAAAAGGACACTGGAGGTAAGTCTCTTGTGAAGCCTGAGCATACTCATGAGTGAGGCCACCGTAGCGAAAGTATTTTAGACATTTTCATTAAACTGTACCCCCAAGAGCAAGATTTCATAGAACTGAACATATTTTACCATATCCTGTTTCCATTTTCTAAACATGTTTACTAGTCACAATGGCCCAGAAGTGTCTTATTCTACTAGTCTTTACTTTCTGATTTTACATTTACTGGGTAGTCTTTAAAAACACCACTATCTATAAATAGAACTCATTAAATTGCTTTCATAGATTCTCTCGTGGTAATTAAGAATTAGACATCCAAAGCCATTTGACACAGCCTAAAACTTCATAAAGCAAAGAGTTACATGGACTGTGTCCTCTAACAAATCTATTCATTTTTTCAAGAGGAGTGGTGGGAAGGAAGATTGCTATAGCATTTTTTGAAGATGTGGCAATTCTCCTGACCTCTTAGTACCTCAAAAAATTCTTTTTATTAAGGACAAAAAAAAAAAAACCCAAAAACCACTACTGAAAACAGTCACCAAGCTCATATGATCTCAGAGTTTCCTCTGACCTGGAGAGGAGGAGGAGTCTCTAGCTTTAAAACTAACTGCAGAGTTAAGCTCTGGCTCTTAAGGTATAAGGAAAGATTTCTTACCACAGGCTTGGTGTCAGATGACAGGCCTAAAAAAGAAAAAAGTTTTATTTAATATTTTAAAAAGTCATAAAGGAAGTCTATAGTCTTCAAATCAAATTAGATAGCACAGAAATAGTATATAAGACAAATGTCCTTTATGGTGAGAAAGACAAGACAGATTGTATCCAAAGATCCTATCTGCATCTACCAAGAACATAAAAATGATATAGCCACTTTGGAAAACAGTTTGGCAGTTCTCAGAAAGTTACACACAGTTTATCATATGACTTGGCAATTCCATTCCTAGGTATACACAAAAAAAGAAACGAAAATATACATCCATACAAAAACTTGTCTATGAATGTTCACGGCAGCATTGTCCATAGTAGACAAAAAGTGAAAACCACCCAAATGAACCATCAGCTGATGTATGGATAGATAAAATGTGGTATATCCATTCAACAGAACATTATCCAACAATAAAAAGAAATGAAATACTGATACATGCTACAACACGGATGAACCCTGAACACACTATGCTAAGTGAAAGAATTCAGTCACAAAAAAACATAAATTATATGATTCCATTTATATAAACATAAATTTATATATATATAGAAAAAAAAAATCAGTGGTTGCTTGGGGGAAGGGGATGGAAAACAATTACTAATAGGTTCAGGGTTTCTTTTTTGGGTGACTGATATGTCCTAAAATTAGACTGTGATAATGGCGGCACAACCCTATCAACAACAACAACAACAACAACTACTGAATTATGTATTTTAAATGGATGAATTGTATGGTATATGAATTATATCTCAATAAGGCTGTTAAAATAAAGAGAGAGAAAAATGTCATATCTGGAAAAAAGAGCAGAGCTACTATCACTGAGTAAAAATTATGGCCTCTTGAAGACAATGTTCTGTACTGAAATTATCACTAAGCAAGTAGTAAATTGGCCTATAGGGTCAACCCTAATCTAGTCAATAATTATTTACTTAAGACTTTCAAAATTTTATTTTAAGCAATCTCCATTTTGTAATTGGTTCCCTAATAAACTTTTCTTTTTTAATTGAAAGAGAGAGAAACATCAATGTGCGAGAGATACACAGATTGATTACCTCTCGAACACCTGCAACCCAGGCATGTGCTCTGACCAGGAATCAAACCAATGACCTTTCAGTTCGCATGCTGCCACTCAATCCACTGAGTTACACCAGCCAGAGCCAACATTTTATGTATGAATTCAACTTTTACCACAACCAATGTACTAAGAACTATTAGGTGCTTTTATATTCTCACCCATAAAACTATATAATTCCTTTTACACGTTCTATTCTTTTAAGAGCTACTTTGTAGTTCTATGATGTCAGTTATATAATAACACTGTAAATGTTATATATACATTATTTTACTTTTTTGATTAGATTTCCTTTTCAGACTAGGAATTAATCTGAATTTTTTTTCTTTGTTCTTCAAATAGCACCATCTAATGTCTTTAGTAATTTTTGTTGTACTATCAGCAATCCTATTATATCTCTTGACATAACTAAAAGCCAGAAAATATCTTATTTCTAAAACACACAGTGATAGTAGCCAGAATTTCACTGGTCTTTAAAAAATAAAAACACAGCAAGTGGGTCAGTGGACTGAGCACCGGCCTGTGAACTGAAGGGTCACTGGTTCGACTCCCAGTGTAGGGCACATGCCTGGGTTGTGGGACAGGTCCATAATGGGGGTTGCTCAAGAGGCAACCACACACTGATGTTTCTCTCCCACTCTTTCTCCCCACTTTCCTTTTCTAAAAATAAAAAAAATCTTTAAAAAAATTAAAGAAAAACACTGCTTGAACTTTTAAAAAAATTAAAATAAAAAATAGAAAAACCACAGGGAAATACTTTAAGATCTTTGGAGGGCATTTTCTTAACATACTTGAAACTACTAGCAGATCACTAGGAGGACTGTATTGGATTAGGAAACTACACTGAAATTGTAAGTCTCCGAAAACAGGGATTGACTATGTGCTTTTAAAAAATAATAACTTTTTTCCTAATTTATCACAAAATGCACATTCATTGTAGAAATTCTAAAACAGAGACAAGCAGAAAGAAGTCACCCAAAACTCTACCTATCAGAGATAATGAGTATTAACAATTTAGCATATATCCTTCTAATCTTTTTCCTAGCCATACATGCACTTTTATTACTAAAATGGGAACACACTGCAAATTTTATACTTGCCTTTTTCACTTAATATCTTCACTTAATATTCTTCAACGTAATTTTTAACTTCTGCATGGTCTTCCACTACTCTATCGTATGCATTTACTTAACCAGTTCTCTACTGTATATCACATTATTTCCAGTTACTGACCACTATAATTACTGCATGATCATCCTTGTGGCTAAGTTTATAAGTATATCCAAGATTATTTCCTTGTAAATTCCTAAGAAGACAGTTGAGGTAAAAAAGATTCTCTTTCCCTACACTAGGTAGTATACCACTACACTAGGTAGTATAACACAGGACAGGTACACTCTAATTATATGCTGATTGGAGGCACCAGAATAAGCAAGGTACTAGAAACTTCTCTGAAAATGTCCAAGAGAAGAAAAACAAACGCTGGTACTTCTTCCTATTCTCTTAACTTCAGTACCCTCTCTAAATTCCCCAGAAAGGCTTAAGTATAGTTTTACCTAAAGCAAAGAAGTAAATATTATAATCTCTTTAAGGTTTCTAGAGCTAACAAGTTTACCTTAATTAGGAGAAATGAAATCTGTTGTGCCAGAAAATAAGACTGTAGAGGTAACTTTCTCAGAAGAGTCTCTGGATGCTTACCTTTTGATGAAACTGAAGAAATTCCAAATCTGTAGAAAGAAAAACAAGCTAAATTTTAGGAAGCTGTTCACACTCCTGGTCTCCGTGTCAAGTATACATATGGCACTTCTTGCTTGTGATCTCAAGCCTTGCAATCATTAGCTAATTTTAACAAGCCCATGAAAGAAGTCTCTTTTACTCTTTTTCTCACCAAGAGTCCAGATAATAAGCTAAAAGGAAGCCTTACCAGAATTGGAAGTAGCAGTTAGTTCCTGACCTCTACCTATTACAAATCCCTGCTTGATAATAAAAACCATTTATAGCAATGATATCCAAATCAAGAGGGTTCTGAATGGAGCAAAAAAAGTGTTTCTTTTCAGCAAGGCCTATATCCTACTTAGAGTCAATAATTATATTTATACCCTGGCTAGTGTGGTTCAGTGGGCTGACTGCTGGCCAGCAAAATGAAAGATTGCCAGTTCAATTCCCAGTCAGGGTATATGCCTGGGTTGCGGGCCAGGTCTCTGTCTAGGGGTATGTGAGAGGCAACCAATGGATGACTCCCTTGCACATCAATGCTTCTCTTCCTCTTTCCCCTTCCCTCTATCTCTCTCAAATAAATAGATAGGGAGGGGGGGAGGGAGGGAGAGAGGGAAGGAAGGAAGGAAGGAAGGAAGGAAGGAAGGAAGGAAGGAAGGAAGGAAGGAAGGAAGGAATTTCAAACCTAGGATCACAGCTCTTCACCTCCATACCAGTGCTATCTCAGGTTCAAAAGGCTGGGGACACTCACCTAGCTGCCCGAGCAGCTTTCTTACTCTCCAAGCTCACAGGTACATTGAATCGTTCAGCTCTCTTCTGCATTCTCTAAGTGATAATGGACAAAAGAAGGGGAAAATAAAAATTCAATTTCTGGTTTCCTTCTTTTAAGAGAAAAGTTGTTTAGAAGTGTGTTTCTTTAGAACATCAGGAATAATTTCTAAATTACATCAGGAGTAATGTCTAAACTGAGAATACTGACAATCCTAGAGGATATCAGGTTATAACCATCTGAGGACTTAACAGCCTTTTCCAAAAAGCAAACACAAAAAGACTATTATTACATTCATATCCTCTAAAACAAGAGAGAAGAAATAAAATAAAACCCACATTCTTCACGAAGCCAAGAAGACAAAAAGCAGTGTCTAGTTGACCTTTGAAAAGGGATCAAAGGAACAGCTTGGTTCCAACGCTGGTGGTACTCTTTCAGATAGAAATGAAGAGTGTTGTTCTATGCCACCTTTACTTTAAGGTACAAAAAAAAAACCAACCCAACACAGATCTTGGAACCTAATTTCAGAGATCTAAAGACAGAATCAAGAGAAATTTCAATCTCACTAGCTAGTGATTTATAACTTAAAGGTGACATCTTCCCTTGTTACTTTTCATCTCTTTCAAGACACAATCCTCCCAGACTCCAATCCTAGTTTGTAAACATCTGAAAGAGACTTACCACTAAGACCACAGTGCTATATACAAAAAGACTAGGGCTTCAAAGGTGACTATGCCAGCCCAAATATTTCCTCAAGTGCAGTTGGTGGAAAAATACATTAATACCAAAATTTGTCAATACTGATTGACAGGTAAATACTGATTTACAGAATGAGTAAATTTTTTAAAGTGATAATACAGATGGAATAAAGGGTAAGAAACAGAAAGATACAGAGAGACTGCTCTTCTACCAGGAAGCAAAATACCCACCTCAGTCTGTGGTATTTCAGATGTAATTTTTACCACTTTCTTTTCTGATGCCCTGGAGAAAAGAGATTTTTTAAATTAGAAAACTGATATTCTAACCCAGAACTTTAGAATTGTGTAAGAGTTTACCCAAATCATGTCCTCTGCACCATCTCTGTCTACCATCCACTAGACCAAAAAACTATAAAGCCCACTAGAACTTCAGTTCCTTGGACTGTCATCTATTTATAAGAGTTCAGTAACAGACTAAGCTACTTTGCTAAAGTATATGGAAGTTATTAGGAAAGAAGTCTGGTTAAATACATTGGGCTGAAGGGAAGTACTCAAAGGATACTGGAAACCATTCAATTTAGGAACTTTAAATTTAGTTCTGGACTAATAACTATGCCTCCAACCCTCATTTAAACACCAGCTCTCAATTTTCATCACAGAAACAATTAATGTGTGCTCCACAAGCTCTGTTTTTTTTCTTTTACAAATTCCTTATTCCTCCCATGGGGATTGTAGCTTCAGCTGGAACAAAGTGGGACAAATAAAATGCCAAAGGGAGTGCGGGGGGGGGGGAAGGCTAAAGGAGTCTGAATTAGGAAAACATGTTAAGTTACAAGTCAAAAGGCTTAAGAAAAAACAAAAGAGGGGGGACCACAGGGGCGGGAGACAAAGTTCGGAAGTACCCAGCATAAATGGAAAGGCATTAACCCTCCACCAAACAACTCCCATAAAACTGTGGGTCATAACCAGTCTCATTAAGGTCCCTCGTTTAGAGACATGGGCGGCTTTTGTTCCAATATCCCAGACACTTTTCCCATTTGATGCCCTGAAAGGTAGTAATGGTTTAATGGCATTTTCAGAGGAAGCAATTCTGGAACAGGAACTTACTCTCTCTCCCATCCTTTTGTTGGAGGTCCCAGAACTGACAAATAAGCAATGGGTGCCCCCTGCTGACCATAACTAAGTCCTACAATATTTAACTGATTTGACAAGGAAATAAAAAATAAAAATCAAACTGTTAGAACAGGAATATTTTTGGAGACACTCAAGCCAAAGATGACACAAGGGGACCTCCTTTTGAATGTTCAAAGGACCTGAGTTAGCCCTAAATATTCTGACTTTTAAAGAAAATCTGAATTCTTCCTATTTCCCGGTCACTCTTCCTTCCCAAACCCTCTGCCATGTTCAAGCAAAAAGGGACAATGAAGTTTAATGTTTTTCTTGAAGTCCAATGCCATTAAGAAAGCAGTTCTTTCCACCAGCCCCAGGTTAATGACTTCCTTCACATTCCTGTCTTAAACCACAATCATTGCAGTACACCTCAGCAAAAAGGGAACCCCAGAGAGGAAGCCTCCTCCTATTTCATTCTAATGCCCTCAGGCACAATTAAGCACAAGCAATAAAAACACATCACATTCTGGGACTCATGGGAAATTTCATCTCTTTACTGAAATTTCTCTCCAACCCACAGTCATATACAAAACACTATCTAAACTAAAGGGACCCAGAACCTTTCTGCACTGTAGATATTTAGTCTAACCATTACTTCCCTCTAAAAAACAAAATGACCACCTCCATACACATTCATCTTCCCTGTTTAGAAATTCATTAATAAAATTAAAATTCTTTAAAGGAATCACACATTTTACATATTCAAAGGATAATAAACTTCTATAAATTTTCAATTTCATTATTTTTAAATCACAAGCCAACTATCATTGTATTTACCTGATCTGCCTTCTTGCCCCAGAGGTCCCCAAAACATCTCTATTTATTTATTCATTTGTTTATTTTAGAGAGAAGGGAAGAGAGAAAAAGGAGGAAAGAATTATCAATGCGAGAGAGAAACACAGATCAGCTGCCTCTAGAATCCATTTAGACCGGGAACCAAACCAGCAATCTAGGCATGTGCCCTGACTAGAATCAAACCAGTGACCTCTTTGTTTGAAGGACAACACCCAACCAACTGAGCCACACCAGTCAGGGCAAAACATCTCTATTCTAAAGCTATCTCATAAGCCATTTTCTCAAAGCATTACATCTAGACACACACCTCTTATAATGGAAGATAACTAAAGGTTTTTGAAAGCAGTAATATGATAAAATCTAATAAAACATTAAATGCACATCCCCTGTGATGCAGCAAATCTAGGGATTTATCCTATGGACTTATTTGCGTAAGTATAAAAACACTTCCAGCATAAGGACATGCAGCACTCCATTTTTTGCTATTATAAACAGTCTAAATGCCCATCAGCAGGAAACTGGTGAAATTACTGTTCATCCCTGGAATGGAGTACTATTAGCTGCTAGAAAGAATATGGTTTTAAGCTGATAACTACTAAACATGCATAAATGTGCGCGAGTATTTCAGGGCCTATTTCACTATTTGCATAACTTTTACATATGTTTACAATTTCCCGTAATAACAAGCTGAAAAAAAAAAAGAGTCCTACGCTAATTAGGATAATTATCCCTATTTCACAGGATTGATTTGAAGATTAAATGAATATATATGTGAAACACTTAGAACCTTACCTAGTACATTAACTAACATTTAAATAAGAACATTACTGTATGATATAGATCTCCAGATATAAGGGGAAAAAAAAAATCAAGAAACCAACAATATATATAGTGTGCACATATTATCTGTATAAACATATATACACACACCATGTAAAACGTTACAAAAGAAGGTATTGAAAACCTCTAGGAAATCAGATAGAAGTGAAAACAAGGGGTACTTCAGGGTTCATACTGTTTAATTTTTTATTAGTCCACATATTACCTCAAAAATGTTAAAAAGGACTCAACTGTTCTTAATGTGGAGTATAAGATGGCCAGACATCTGTGGAAAGGGCCCCAAATAAAACATGTTTACGATAACACTGTGGGATAGTTTAAATAAATTCAGATCTGCCCTAGCCAGGTAGCTCAGTTGGTTAAAGCATCATGCAGAAACATCAAGGTAGTAGGTTTGCTCTCCAGCCAGGGCACATACAAGAATCAACCAATGAATATGTAAATAAGTGTAACAAACAACAGGTGTTTCTCTCTCTCCCCCCTCCCGCCCCCCTCCCAGTCCTCTCTCTCTAAAAATCAATAAATAAAAATTTAAAAATAAATAAATCAAGATCTACTTTCCACTTTAGTTCTTTGCCCTCCCCTACTCCCCTGTAAATCAAAAAGGAAGAGAGGACAGTGTTATCTGAGACACAAAAATCTCTGGTCAGCACCATCTTCCCTTACAAAATTCTTTATATGCAGAGAATCTGTATGATTTTCTATACAGAAAGAGAATCACTTATTATGGTGATACAACAAAGGCCAGGAGACCTACAATTGGTCTGGGCTTGAAGTCTCCTGATCCTAATCATCTATTACATAACCCAGAGACAAACTAGTTTGCTTCACTGAGACCATGTACTTGAAATGAAATAGACTCTTCTGAAAATATATAATCTAATGAGAAATTTTAAAATGCCATAAAAGGTAAACAAAGTGAAAACACTATGCCTCCCACCAAAAAACCCCCAGAACTATCTGCTCTGTACTCAGATTACAAAAAAGAAATAGTTACACATCAACAGTTTTTTCAGGGGGTTCTTCCTCTTTGACAGGCAGTTCTATGGGCTTTGGTTCTTCTTCCTAAAAACAAATGAAACAAGATGGTTCACATAAATCAAGAGTAAAAACCTGTCAACAGAGGAATATGAGAACTCTAAAATGAATCAGTCTTTCAGAAATGTAATTCCACCATGACGCTCCCCTAGTGAGTTAGCATTTAAGTCCTCTAATGATTGATGTGAAGCAATGGCCAAGGTAGTGGCACATTGCCAGGGCAGTCACTACTAGCCTTTCTCTTTCCAACTCACCTCTGTTTCATCTCCCAGTACATCTTCTTCATTTGCCTCCTCTTCAGCTAAAGAATATTAAAATATTCAGGTCAAGCGCTGCTACATAACCATATTGATTGCTGTACTCAGGCTAAAATTACAATCATTTTTCTTTCCCAAAATAAAATTCAATAATAAAGGCAGAACTAATGCTTACAAAATTTGCTCCATATGGAGATAAAACTGTTTTCTCTACCTAACATTAATATAAAGTTGAACTCCAGATGGACTGAAGAACTAAACTGATGAAGTCAAATTTAAACATTAATATAAAGTAATATGAAAGAACACCTTTAATATTTAGTGGTGGTAAAGGATTTCTTAAACAAAAAGAACAAAACCCAGAAGCAAAATCAATTATAAGAAAAATTTTAGATGTTTTAGAAACACCATGGAAAAAGAAACAAATGACAAAGAAGTTACTAGTGTCTAAGACCAACGAGGGAACAGTTACTAGAATATAAAAGAAATGGCTTGCAAACTCATAAGTGAATGTTGGAAACCCCAAGAAAATGAGTGAAGGAGAACCTCAAAGAACCATAAACACAAGAAATGTTTAAACTTTTTAATAATTAGAGAAATATAAATTGAAACAACCTACAGATTAGCAAAAAGTAGGGCACTTGATAGGATAGGACAGATTTGTGGAGGAGAAACAAGAACCCTCATACACTCTACAGATTTACAGAGCAATTCTGGAAAGCAATTTGGCAGTGCTTAGTCATGGTAAGTATACACTTTTATATAGGTATTTATTAGCAACCCTGAGTATATATCCCAGAAAGACTCTCATACAAGAATATTAAGGAACATCAAATAAGGAGTTCAGGAGGCAGTACAGATGTCTATCACTGGGTGAAGTAAAATGTGGTGGATTCTACACATTGTAGAACACTTTTCAGGAAATGGAATGAATATACTAGATGACAACACAGCCATAGGCCACAAAATATATCTTTAAAAAACAACAAAACAAAACAAAAACACAGCCCTGGCTGGTGTGGCTCAGTGGACTGAATGCCAGCTTGTGAAACAAAGGTTCACAGGTTCAATTCCCAGTGTAGGGTACACGCACAGGTTGCAGGTCTGGTCCCCAGCAGGGGGCACACAAAATGCAACCACATGTTGATGTTAATCACTTGCCTCCTGTACACACCCCAACTGGGGATTGACCCCACAACCTTTTAGTGTACAGGATGATGCTCCAACCGAGCCACCAGGCGCAGGCAATGAAATTGTTTTAAAAAAGGTGGAATTAGCCCCGCAGTGGAGTGAATGCTGGCCTGCAAACAGGTCGTCAGTTTGATCCCAGTCAGGGTACATGCCTAGGTTGCGGACCAGGTCCCTTGGAGGCATATGAAAGGCAACCAACCAAATGTTTCTCTTGCACATCATGTTTCTCTCCCTCTCTTTCCCCTTCCCTTCCTCTCCCTAAAAATAAATAAATAAAATCTTTAAAAAACAAAATAAAAAAATAAAAAGGCGGACTTAGAGAATATCAGAACTAGAGGGACCAGAGGTTACCTAGGTTTATGAATTTCAAGGGTAGAGACACTTGTCCAGAGTTACCCAGTATATTTCTGGCACAAGAGGAATTGGAATTCAAATCTTCCAATTCTCAGGCTAACGATACTTGTTTTTAACCATACTTCCTTTTAAATAATTTGCTGAAATAAAATTACAATGTATTAAAAGGGGGGGAAGGAGCATTTCTTTGCATTATAACCACTGTTCTGGATAAACAAGAGTTTTCTTGGTATAGTTAATTAAGCGTTTATGCCACCAACAATGTAAAGGAAAAGAAGAAATCTTCCATACAGCAGAACTTAGAAATTAATACCCTTAATCACACCACTCTGCCTCCACAAAGCACTTACCATGCTCTTCAAGATAGGCCTGGAGCCTGTTGATGAGATCTTGTTTTATTCCCTTGGTCTCCAAACCACGAGCAAGACATTCCTGCTTTAGTTCAGCAAGCTGAGAAAAAAAAGAGTAAAACTTTTCCTTAGTTAATACAATGAAACTAGTGAAAAAAAAGAGAGGTACAGTTGACCCTTGAACAATGTAGAGTTAGAGGTGCTGATGCCCCATGTAATCGAATATACAGATATAAATTCTGAATCCCTCAAAATGTAACTACGGCCTTGCCCAGTGTGGCTCAGCTGGTTGGAGCATCATCCTGTACACCAAAAGGTTGGGGGTTCGGTTCCTGGTCCAGGTACCATATGGGAGGCAACCAACTGATGTTTCTTTCTCATATCGATGTTTCTCTTTCTCTCTCTCTCAAATCAATAAACATATTTTAAAGAAGAAAAACCAACATAAATACTAATAGCCTACTGCTGACTGGAAGCCTTACTTACATAAATAACACATATTTTGTACATTATTATATACTATATTCTTACAATATACTAAGCTAGAGAAAATGTTATTAAAAAATAATAAAATATACTTACAGTACCGCAAATATTTATTGAAAAAAATCCAAGTATAAGTGGACCTGAACAGTTCAAACCCATATTATTCAAGGGTCAACTGTAGTTCTCACAAAAAAGAAAAAGAAAGTTCAATCCCAAACAATTGCTCTTAATCCCACCAAGCCTCTAGGTCCATGAAGATAGTTTACTTCTTTCTAATATTCAATATGTAAGAGGACTTTTCTAACACATGATGAATAAACATCCTACTTTAATAGAATTCTGATCTATTCATGCAACTACTTATTATTACAAATCTTTAGTGTTTTTGATAGAAAAAAGATTTCTCTGCCCCCAAAATTATTGTACCAGCTAATGGAAAAAAATTAATCTTTAGGTATAAAATCTAATTATCTAAAAGCAGATTCTTCAGTTATTCCAGATCTTTTACTGAAACATACCATAAATATGCATTCAAGTCTGATCACTGTAGATTCAGGTAAATGCGTTAGCCAGCTTAATGTCAACAATGAATCAATTAAAACACCTATGTCAAAATGGAAAAAAATATCGAAATGCATACCACAGAATTCTGTTGAAGATTTTAAAAATCAGTACTTGACTAAAGATGTAACAGGTATGCTTACCAAGTTTGCAGATAACAGAAGGAGGAAGAATTGATGGATTACTGACAGAACTAAGCTAAGGGCAAGGGAAGAGCTCTTCAGGAAGAACAATGAATCAAAAAAAAAAAAGATTCAATTTAGAAGAAATAAGATATACCTATAAAGTACTATAATTATATTTGAAACTTAAATTGTTCTAAAACCAGATGAGCAAGATCGGGCTCAACAGTAACTCAAAGGATAAAGACCCCAGGGTTTTAGATGATTAAGCGCAGAGGGTTAATATGATTTGCTACCAAAGTAATTCTAGGTTATGGTTAATTGAAGAACAGAATATATTTAATGATGCAACAGACTTGTTGGGCTCCAGACTCTTATTTTAAGAAGCATGAGAACATGCTAATAGAAAACAAGAAGGAAAAGGGAGGCTCCAGAAACCCTATATGCAGATCAGTGCACAAATATCATAGATGTTTGGCCTGAAAGATTTTACTTGTTCTGAGGTATAGTTTATAGACCAACCAGTAGAAGTTAGAAAGCAGATTCCTATAGGAGAAAGAACTTTACAATTAAGAGAATATGCTGGGCATCTCTAGGTTTTTCAAAACAGAGAACCTGAAAATGGAGAGAGGAAGCTTTTTTCCCTCCCAACAATAACTGGTCAGGTCGAACATTCAGCTGAGTGGGACGAGCAGGCAGCAATAATATAGGGTAGAGTGCAAGTAGATTTACAATTGTATGTGAAACAGAGTTTATGCGTGTACTGTTATTTATTATTGTATTTTCCATAAGAACTGCAGACCTACTTTGGCCCCATCCTGTATGTAGAGATTTGACCTACTAAACAAGCCAATAGCACCCTCTACTGAGAAACATGGTAGATAATCACCCATTAAAAGTGTGGAGTGGCAGGGAGGTGACTCCAACTGAAGAGGCCTACACAGAATGAGGGCCATGCAGCTTTCCCAGGCACTGATTCACTCCTTTAGCTCAACCAACTGCCTGGAAGCGCTCTAGAGAATCTAGTGGCCGAGGAACAGAAACTCTTTCAGGCTATCAACAACCTTCCGGGTGTACTCCTAAGACAGGGGAACCCACAACATTCTGTATAAACTGACGACAGCACTGTGGGCACTGTGTCTGGGAGGCACCACCTACAGTCTGTATTGCTTTGGCTGGGCTTCCTTCCCCAACAAAAGTGAGACTACGAAGCCTGCAGACTTGAAGAACAAGCATTAATACATATGCAGACTTCTTGGGAGGGGATGGCAAGAGGAGTGTGGAGTGTGGCTGCAGAGGCTAACATGGCCTCTGAAGCCAGACTACCTGGGTTTAAATTCCAGCTTTACCACTAACAGCTGTGTAAACTTAAGTAAGTAACAATCTCTCCGTGCCTCAGTTTCTCATGAAATAGGGATAATGAAACAGTACCTTTACCAGAGTTGTTATGAAGATTAAATCACTAAGTATTTATAAAGCATTTATTGTAGAATAGTGCTTGGCACCTAGTAAGTACTTTGTAAGTGTTAGACACTGGGTGGGAAATGAGACAAGATTAGACTTGAATAGCATTAATCTAGAATTTAGACTCTAAGTGACCTCTAGGTTCATTTCTTAAGAATCCTGATTTTTCCCACCTTGGTACTTTAATCCTTTTGGCTTCCTGAAGTACAAGTATTGCATTTTAGTTATACTTTTAAAAGGTTTTTGACTTACTATATAAATAGTAGTATGTTCACACAGAATTTGAAAATTCTGAAAAGTATAAAAGAAAATAAGTTTTAGGTAATCCCAGAACCTAGAGATCACCTAACATTTTATTTATTTTTAATATATATTTTATTGATTATGCTACTACAGTTTTCCCAATTTTTCCCCCTTTGCCCCCCTCCACCCAGTATCCCCCATTCCCTACAGCAATCTCGTGCCTTAGTCCATGTCCATGGGCTACTCCATTTCCTATACTGTTCTTAATATCACTCTGTCTATTCTATACCTACCAATTTGTAGTTCTTAATCCCTGCACCTTTTCCCTCATTCTCCCCCTTCCCCTTCCCAAATGATAACCCTACAAATGATCTCCCTACCTATGATAGTTTCTGTTCTGCTTGTTTGCTTAGTTTTTTAGATTCAATTGTTGATAGTTGTGGATTTGTTGCCATTTTCATGTTCATAGTTTTGATCTTTTTCTTAGATAAGTCCCTTTAACATTTCATATAATGAGGGCTTGGTGATGATCGACTCTTTCAGCTTTACCTTGTCTGGGAAGCACTTTATCTGCCCTTCCATTCTAAATGACAGCTCTGCTGGACACAGTAATCTAGGTTGTAGGTCATTGCTTTTCATCACTTGGAATACTTCTTGTCAGTCCCTTCCTGCCTGCAAAGTTTCTTGAGAAATAAGGTGAGTGTCTTATGGGAACTCCTTTGCAGGTAACTATCTGCTTTTCTCTTGCTCTTTTTAAGATTCTCTTTATCTTTAGCCTCTGGCATTTTAATTATGATTTAACGAAATGGTTCTGTGTGTCCATCTTGTTTGGGATCCTCTGTGCTTCCTATATACTATTTCCTTCACCAAATTAGGTAAGTTTTCTTTAATTATTTTTTCAAGTAAGGTTTCAATTTCTTGCTCTTTCTGTTCTCTTTCTGGCACGTCTCTGATGTGAATGTTGGTACATTTGAAGTTGTCCCAGAAGTTCCTTAGCCTTTGTTTTTAAACTCTTTTCTTCTTCTTGCTGGTCTGATTGAATGTTTTTTTATGTTCCAAATTACTGATTTGACTCTTGGCTTCACCCAAGCCACTGTTGGTTTCCTGTAAATTCTTTATTTCATTTAGTGTAACCTTCATTTCCACCTGGGTCTTCTTTATGTTGTTAAAGTACCCAGTGAGTTCCTTGAGCTTCCCAATAACCAGTGTTTTGAACTCTGCATCTGATAGATTGCTTATCTCTATTTTGTTTAGTTCTATTTCTGGAGTCTTGTTCTGTTCTTTCATTTGGGACATATTTCTGTGTCTCCTCATTTTGACAGCCTCTGTGTTTGTTCCTATGTATTAGGTAGAGCTGCTTTGACTTCCATCTTATTAGTGCAGCCTATTGTAGAAAAGCACACATGTGCCCTGGTTGGTGTGGCTCAGTGGACTGAGTGCTGCCCTGCAGACCAAAGGGTGGCTGGTTTGATTCCCAGTCAGGGCACATGCCTGGACTGTGGGCCAGGTCCCCAGTGGGGGGTGCACAAGAGGCAACCAAACACTGATGTTTCTCTCCCTCCCTTCCCCTCTCTATGAAAATAAATAAATGAAATCAGAAAGAAAGGGAGGGAGGCATGGAGGGAGGGAGACGCGCACACACATAAGTTGGATGGGGCAGAGCCTTAGGTAATCACCAGGGTGGGGCAACCCGTGTGAACCAGGCTGATGGAGTCTAAGATACGAGGTCTCCACTCTGTGGCTCCATGTGGGGGAGGGCTCAGAAAAGGGACAATGGTCAATGCCTGGCCTCTAGGGTTTTGTCCAGGAGGAAGCTGTCCCCTGGCACTCACCCTGATATCAGACACTTCAGTTTCTCCCTGTGTGCCACTGGTGCCTCTCCAGCTGCTGCCCTGGTGCTGGATCCCAGAGGAAGTCAGTCTGCATTAATTCCTAAGTACGTTTCTGGCCCTTTAAGAGACACCTGAGAATCCCACAGTTTCTTCCACCACCCAACCTCCACTGGTTTTTACAGCCAGAAGCTATAGGGACTTAGCTCCCTGACACTGGAATCCTGGGCTGGGTGGTATGGTTTGGAGCTGGGATCTCCTCCTGTTCCCAAAGGTATACCTCCTAATTTTTACCCCCACATGTAGGTGTGGGACTACCTGTTCAGCGTCTCCACCCCTCCTATCCCTCTGGATGAATGTGACTTCTTTAATTCCTTGGCTGCTGGACTTTCACA